GAAGATAAAGTTACAGAAGTAGTTTTACGTATTGATATATGTTTTGGAGACATGATTAGATATGATGCATGTTATAGTTGACATCTATTTTGGTAGGCATATGTAGTCTATGAACAAGTTTATATGTTTTATGTAAGGACCCGCACCGTTAATTTATGAATTAAATTAAATTAAATATGAGATTAAGAGATAATTCCATAAATGACTTAGAATAAATATAGGAAGACTTGAATGATTGTAATAAGGTCTTAATAATATTGAAAGTCGCTTTTCTGACAAAAAGTGCAGATATCGGTTTTTCTTCTATGCATAATTGCGTACCGAAGAAGTATCCCAAAAAATTATAATAAGTACATGAATATTCCTAGAATAATATCTAGGACTAGTATACCAAGTTTGGAGTCAAAATAATGAGAACTACCGGCAAAGTGCTGCGAAAATTGTAATAAAAATATGATAATTCCTTGAAAAATGGCTAGGTTCAGAATCCAAAGTTTAAGATTAAAATGATTAGCGGAGCAATTATTGCTAATACTCACGCGTAAAACTTAATGACTCTATAAATAATAAGTGACATAGATTTTTAGGTCAACTCCACATTTCCTACTTGCCTCTTTCTGAAGATTTGAGCCTCATAGCTTGCCACCTTCTTCTTCTTCATGAAAACTCAAGCAAAACTCATCCTTTCTCTTTGATTCCTTCTCCAAATATTGTAAACACATGGGTGTGTGATTGGTAAGGAAGGAGGGTGCAACCTTGAGAGTGTGAGTAGGTTGGGTATTCTAAGTTGGGGCTGCCCATTTGGTTGGGTGTTGTGGAGCCATTTTCTTTACTTGTGTTGTCTCAATAAGCCATTTTGTTGATAAAGGACCAAGCTTGCTCGACAAATTCGTGGCCTTGTGAAAACAGAACTTTGGGACTGACTTGAGAGCTCCATGAGCACATTTGGTTTCTGTTTTGTGCCTTTGGGTATGTTCCTCAACATTGATCATGAGTTTCCTTGTTAAAGATCAAGTCTTGGCATGAAAAATGATAGGATTAAGTAGCTGTTGGGTGGTTTGCTGATGGTGGAAAAAATGTATATTCTGATGGAGGACTTTCCTCTGTTCTAAATTTGCAAGGGAGAATAGTTTTGTTCCCTTCCAACCCAAGTGTGCAAGTGCATGCATCAAGTAATAATGGTTGTATTAATGCCCAGATTATCGTTCCCACGAGGATAGAACTCTAAATAATGTCTTAAACTATTTTATAGAATATGAAAATGAAAAGAAAAGTTAGTGATTGAACTGTCTGGTCAAACGTTCCCCACTGTCTTGACAACGTTCCTCAAGAACAGTAAGGTCAGTCAGATGGAAAACAATTACTCGCTTCGTTATATATGTGATTCTTCCTGTCAAAAGAAGGTGTGATAATAATCATTTGAGATTGATAAATACAAGACTGAATAAAGTAAAAATAAAACAGTAATAACTATAATCAAGAGACAACAGGTGGATGGTTTTAAAAACAGTTTTAACACAAGGAACAGATTTACTGCTCCATTCTTAAATAGTTATTTCCTCTGCTCAAGACTTATCACCTTTTGGCCTTGTCCTAGTTTCTTAACTGCCAACTCTGATTCCTCAGCTCATGGACTAGATGGCTCACAAGTTTCCATATTCCTATGGCTCTCTTGACTCCAACAGGTGCTTGGTACAGAATCTTAAAATGGACGAAGTGGCCCCTTATTCCTAAGGTGATCAATAGTGTCGTTGCCAAAACATTACCTTCCCCCACTGACTAAGTTGTTCAATTTCCTTTGATACACAATGAATATAGCTTACTTAGTCAAAGAAATACAAAAAGCTTCAGTCAAGAGTTTTGAAAATAATTATTTAAGAGCTTTGCAGCTCATCCGTTCCACAGATGGTTCAGCCCATGGCTGTTAACTTAAACATAATTATTCTAAGCTGAAATCCCATAGACCCGAGATTCAGTTCAGAGATAACGAATGGAAAGAAAAGAAGAAACACTTATATTAAATTGAAACAAGAAAGATTACAACAAAATATAAAGTGGAGAAGATGGTTGATGCTCGTGAGGAGTCTCAAGTGAATGATACAGAATAAGAAGAAGTGTTGTCACTTAACTATAATTACAACTATACAAAATTAAACTATAAACAATACTAAGTTGATCTCTTTTTAAGGAATTTGATCCCTTAGGAATTCGATGATGTCTTCGTGTTTGGGACGTCCTATTTATAGGCAGAAGAGTGAGTGGCAGTCTTGTAAAATTCCTTGGAATTGATTTCTAGACAGTATGGCTGGGGCGGTGGCAACAATGTTTGGAAGCTTGCAACTTGTTGGATGGGACAACTTTTGTTGAGATTTGCCGTTTTATTTCAGTCCCCCATGTCTTGCTTTCTTTTCAGCCAATGCGAACTCTTTATTCCCTGCTGTTCACGTTTCTTTGTGCTTGAGTGGTGCACCGCCTCTGCTTTACGAAGACGTTGTTTCCACGTTTCCTGCAAAGTGATCAGAAGCATTAAATGAGTGGAGCAGGTGCAATAAATGCTCTCAATCTGTTCCCCTTTTTCCAAAGGATTACGTCATCATCCGTTCCCCCACTGTGTTTTTGTCACAAAAGTGTAAAACAAGTGATTTTCATGCTGAAGTTGCTCATCAGATGAGAGAACGGATGGTATTTTGCCATCAAAATGGGCTTAGATGGGAACGAATTTACCTCCCATTAGTAGCTAACATGATCAATGGTCTAAATGGGTATAAAGACGCATGCTTTAACGTGTATATGTGTTAAAAATGGAACCTTGGTTGGATATCTTCGCAAAAATGCAGAACTGCATTCTGACGTGAAATATCCGGATATGGGTTGGTGATAATCGGATATGAATATCCGGATATCATATCCGGATATGGCCCCGACATATATCCGGATATGAATATCCAGATATGGCCCCAACATATATCCATATATTCTGGAAAATTCGAGTTGGGTACTGTTTTGTTCATAAAAAATTGTACATTTGGTTTATAGACCCTAGATTGGTTGATGTGAACCTCTGTAATAATTGAACTGAGTCAGAATCACGTAGATTAAGGGCTTATGGCTTTGGAAGAAGCCTAAAGGCGTGAAACGAAAAAGGAAACATTGTCATAATGTAAGAAACTTATAGATTTTGAATGTTGATGAGAATTCTGGTCTAAACAGATTGTGATTTTGTTGTTTGGTGTCCTTTGGCTGTTGTGGACTCTTGAGTTGGATTGTTAGCTTGCGAGGTAAGCTTTCGTGTCCTCGGTTTTGCCCACTGTTGGTTCCACCATACCTCATGGAGGGATGGTTTATATGCATGATGTGTTTTCAAGAAATGATTATTATTGAAATACTATTGAGCTGTTAAGTACAAGTGCCTTATGACATGTATGTGGTGTTCCACCTAGACGGTAAGCCTGAGTATGTGAAGACATACAAGATGGTGATTCTATGGGTGAGGTACAAGCGGTGAGCCTTGTACTGTAGGTTGTAGACATATGTAATTCCTGCATGTTTATTCTCTGGCCAGTAGGATTATTACACACATGACATGATTATATGCTGCATTGCACGAATTTTGAAACTTACACTGTTATACTGCTTTTGAACTTATATTGCACATGTAAGTGAGCTTGGGGCAGAGAGATCCTTGAGGACCTATTTTCTTACTAAGATTTTTTTTTAGAGATATCACCCCGTGTTGAGGCACATTTTCAGGTTCAGGTACCTTGGGGGTTGATACCTCTGGCAGCAAGAGGCCGGAGCTGAGTTGATTATGCATGTTGACTGCAGATATGCCTGATTAATGATTATGCTTTATTTTCAGTATCATGTTATTTGAGTTGAGACTTGGTTTGGCTATGTTGCCTTATTTGGTGAGCATGAGGTTGTCCATGCCATATTGTTTTACTATATTTATTTAGACTTGAGTTGTATAATGTATCAAGATTTTTGTCTGGTCTATGTGTTGTAGCTCCGTGACTAGATACACCTCTATACATGAGGTTATTCAGTTAGTTATTTATTGCAATTTATATACAGGAAATGTTTTGAAAAGGAATTAAGTAATCAACTTGGTTAATATAATGACGTCATAATTGAAAAGAAAAAGTTAGCTTCCGCATTTAATTTAGCTGCGCCATTACCATTTGTATGATAATACACCGGTGCACACAAGGTGTTACATTTTATGGTATCAGAGTACTTTCTAGGGAAAAAACCTGTATGTAATGCAATAACTTAGGATGAATTGCTGTGTGTTTTGTCTGTTGTGTTCTTTTGGGTTTTACTATGATGATGCATGCGTGATCACATTGTGTGGGCATGATCAACTCATTCTTTGTGTAACTTGTGCAGAGTCATGGTACTACGTAGTAGGAACCAGGAGACGAATGAGGGTCAACCTGACCCGGTCGTGGCTGTATTAGCTGAGATGCAGACGGCTCAACAAGCCGACCAGGAGGCCATTAAAGTGGCCAACCAGACTATGTTGAATGCCGTGAGGGAGGCGATCTGGAAAGCCACTAAGGATGTGCTAGAGGCAAACCGCCTGGCAAATATGACCACGATGAGGGTCATGTTGGAAGAGATGAGGACTGGTCATGCTGGTGGCCAACATCCTCCGCTACCACCTCCACCGCCACCACTGCCGTCGCCTCCGCCCAGTGATGGTCATGGAGGGGGTGGGACACATGCTCCGGAGGACGACAGTCAGAGTCGTATGGAGGGTGTCAGACATCTCACACGGATGATGCAGCCTTATTTTAAGCCTGAATGCTTTCCGCAAGCATAAGACACCTTCCTTTGATGGATCCTATGATCCAATTGTTGCAGCAAGATGGCTCCAGTCTTTGGACAAGATCTTCAGAGTTATGCAGTGCACTGACCCACAAAAGCCGATGTTTGCCACCTATATGTTGGAGGGAGACGCTCATTAGTGGTGGATGACCACCTCTCAGATTTATGAGATGCAGGGCCATGTTATCATGTGGCCATTCTTTGAGGAGTGTTTCTTGGGGAGGTATTTTCCCTATGATGCGCAGGAGAGGAAACAAGGGGAGTTTGAGCGGTTGGTGCAAGGCTTAATGACAGTTGATGAGTACTTAGCTAAGTTCAATGAACTGGCCAAATTTGCACATTTCAGGATTGCTATGCCTACATCGGCATTTTTGGCATCTAAGTTTCGTAGGGGACTTAATGAGGAGATTGCAGACAAGATTGTTGGAGCTGCATCCAGAGATTTCGGCACATTGGTTCAGCAGTGCCGTGACATTGAGGATGTTTGTGTGGTGAGTAAGGCCAAGAAGGCCAAAGTATCTGATGTAAAGGGGACTGGTAGTTCTACTTCTTGGACATATAAGAAGTTTACAGGAAAAGGAAAAGGGAAGCAGTTGGCTGCTAGGTAGGCGCCAAATCAGTTCAAGAGGACTTCGGCTCAGCGAGTGCAGCTAAACCTCCTACTCCTAGATGCACTGGATGTGGGAAATTTCATGTTGGGCCGTGTTCCACCGGGCAGGTCATTTGATTTCACTGTGGCAAGGAGGGCCACTGTGCAAGAGATTGTCCCTCTTTGGCTGCGAGAGCTGTAGCGGTTCAGGCGATTCCATTGCAGATGATTCCTACTGCACCTACAGCGGCACCTGTCGTGCCACGAGCCACTGACCGAGTGTATACCCTGGATCAGCAGCAGTCGGACAGGGCTCCGAACCTTGTGAGAGGTACTATTTCCATTGGTGGTTCTACTGTTGATGTATTATTTGATTCCAAGGCTACGCATTCTTTCATCGCGACCCCGATTGCTGTAGGGCTTGAGTTGCCTACTTATGTGCTTTCTCCACCGTTGCGGGTGACCACCGCCACCGGAGAAAAGTGTGATATCTCCACTGTTCATCGAGATGTCATATTTCAGTGAGATAACCGTGAGTACTCGGTAGATCTGATAGGATAACTGATGGCTAATTTGGAGATCATCCTTGGCATAGACTGGTTGTCCACGAATTGTGTGATGATTGATTGTTACGCTAAAAAAGTGGTGATGTCTCCGTGTGATTCCATAGCCAGTTCCTCGCTTTATATTTCAGTGTTGTAGGCTAGGAGAGCCTTGAGAACAAGGGCATATGGTTATGTCATGTTGGGAGGTTTGGTGAGTGGGACATAGGAGGACATTACCGGTATTCCTGTGGTGAAGGAATTCCTCGAGGTGTTTCCTGAGGAGATTCCTGAGTTTCTGCCATAGAGGGAGATAGAGTTCTCCATTGACCTGTTGCCTCGTGTGGGTCCTATTTCATTAGCTCCATACCAGATATCTCCACCTGAGTTAGCGGAATTGAAAAAGCATATTGAGGAGCTTTTCGCGAAGCATTTTATTCGACCAAATGTGTCTCCATGGGGAGCACCAGTCATTTTTGTTAAGTAAAAAGATGGGACTATGCGATTGTGCACTGATTACAGACAGCTGAACAAGGTGACAATCAAGAACAAGTATCTCCTCCTCGTATTGATGATCTGTTGGATCAACTTAGGGGTGCTTGCGTGTACTCCAAGATTGATCTCCGGTCCGGATACCATCAGATTTGGGTCAAGCTGGAGGATGTCCCCAAGATCGTATTTCGTTCGAGATACGATCATTATGAGTATTTGGTGATCCTGCTTGGACTCATCAATGTACCCATAGTGTACATGGATTTCATGAACCGTATCTTCTAACCGTACTTGGACCGCTTTGTGATCGTCTTCATTGACGATATCTTGATCTACTCCAAGAATGAGGAGGAGCATGCAGAGCACTTGAGGATTGTGTTGCAGGTGCTGGAGGAGAAAAAACTATATGCTAAGCCTTTAAAAGGTGAGTTTTGGCTCAAGTCGGAGAAATTTCTTGGGCATGTGATTTCTGCAGAAGTAGTTGCAGTTGATCCAAACAAGATTGAGGCTATGTTGGATTGGGAGAGACCCAAGACCGTTACAGAAATGAGGAGTTTCCTGGGTCTGGCAAGTTACTATATGGGGGAGTTTGGTAAAGGAGAAAAAATTTTTTATCCGGGAATCTCGATTTTCAGAAATATGATTTTTACATTCAGTTTACGATAATATCCAAAAATTAAAAATTTATAAAAATTTAGTTTCCCGGGAATCCTGGAGAATACCGCTTACCAAACGCCCCCTAGGAGATTCATTGAGGGATTCTCCAAGATGGTTCTATCATTGACTCGCCTTACCCGCAAAGAGACTCTATTTGTATAGACTCACGAGTGTGAGGAGTGCTTCCAGGAGTTGAAGGAGAGACTGACAACTGCACCAGTGTTGGTTCTTCCTGATTCTGCTGAGCAGATTGAGCTGTATTAAATGCCTCTGGGAAGGGGCTGGGCTGTGTGTTGATGCAGACTAGCAGAGTGATTGCATATGCTTCGAGGCAGTTGAAGCCTTATGAGGAGAACTACCCGACTCAAGATTTGGAGGTGGCTGCGATTGTTTTTGGCTTTAAGATTTGGAGGCATTACTTGTATGGTATGAAGTTCGCAGTGTTCAGTGACCATAAGAGTTTAAAGTATCTATTTGATCAGAAGGAGCTGAACATGAGACAAAGAAGATGGATGAAATTTCTGAAGGACTATGACATTGAGTTGAAGTACCATTATGGCAAGGCCAATATGGTAGCGGATGCTTTGAGTCAAAAATCCGTGAGTCTATCTAGCTCGATGATGGGTGACTATGATGTGATTAAGAAATTTTGGGATTTGACATTGACCTCTTTGTTTGGGGGTGTACTTCTCGAGATGGAAACTGTTAGAGTTGAAAATGAGCTGATGGAGAAGATTAAAGAGGCGCAAGTGCAAAAAGAGTGCCTTGACTGTGTGAAGAATCAAGATGGTGTGTCTTGGAATGAAGGTTTGTTGATGTTCCAGAAGAGGATTGTATTTCCTCGAGGCCCATTGTCTTAGGAGGTGATGTCAGAGGCTAGTTGGGACTGCCTAAGACTCAGGCTAGTTGTGACTCTATCTGGGTAATTGTGGACAGATTGACCAAGTCTGTCCATTTTTTTCCCGTAAAGGTGAGCTTCATTACTGAGCAGTTGGCCAGACTATATGTTCGTGAGATTGTGATGCTTCACGGGGTGCCCGAGAGTATCATTAGTAATAGGGATCCGAAGTTCACATCTCGGTTCTGGGAGGCATTGCATGAAGCTTTTGGTACTCAATTGAGATTGAGTACAACCTATCACCCTCAAATTGATGGACAGACTAAGCAGACCATCCAGACATTGGAGGACATATTGAGGGCTTGCACATTGGAGTAGGGCTCAGCATGAGATCGGTACCTACCGTTGATCGAGTTTTCCTACAACAATAGCTTTCGTGCTAGCCTGGGCATGGCACCCTACCAGGCATGTATGGTAGGAGGTGTCGGACTCCTACCTGTTGGTCTGAGGTTTGAGATAGAGAGTTATTTGGTTTGGACTTTGTCGAAGAGACCACCCAGCATTTGGTTTGGACTTTGTCGAAGAGACCACCCAGCAGATCCAGATGATTAGAGAAAAGCTGAAGCAGGAACAGAATCACCAGAAGAGCTACTACGACAACAAGCATCGGTCACTGGAGTACAGTGAGGGTGAGCATGTGTTTGTGAGACTTTCACTTGTCACCGGTGTTGGTCGGGCCCTCGGAGTGAGGAAGCTTAGCCCGAGATTCATAGGGCCATACCAGATTCTTGGTAGGGTAGGGCCTATTGCCTACCGGCTTGCCTTGCCTCCGAACTTGGCCAACATCCATGATGTGTTTCACGTGTCTCAACTTCGGAAGTATATAGCGGATCCTTTGCACGTGGTGCAACCAGACTATGTGGAGGTTCGGGAGTACTTAAAAATTCCTGTCGGACCACTCAAGATTCTCGATCGTGGCGAGAAGAAGCTTAGGAGCAAGATCATTCCTATGGTCAAAGTGCAATGGGAAGGAAGAACTTCTGAGTAGTGTACTTGGGAGCGAGAGGACGAGCTTCTCCAGAAATACCTCGAGTTTCGGGACAGGTATGTTTCTAATTTTGCGGACAAAATTCTTAAAAGGTGGGGTGAATGTAAGGACCCGCTCCGTTAATTTAGAAATTTAATTAAATTAAATATGAGATTAAGAGGTAATTCCATAATTAACGTAGAATAAATATGAAAAGACTTGAATGATTGTAATAAGGTCTTAATAATATTGAAAGTCGCTTTTCTGACGAAAAGTGCAGATACCGGTTCCGCTTCTCGGTATAATTGTGTTCCGATGAAGTATCCCGAAAAATTGTAATAAGTACATGAATATTCACTGGCCAGTAGGATTATTACACACATGACATGATTATATGCTGCATTGCACAGATTTTGGAACTTACATTGTTATACTGCTTTTGAACTTATATTGCACATGTAAGTGAACTTGGGGTGGAGAGATCCTTGAGGACCCCTTGTCTAACTGAGATTTCTTTTTAGAGATCTCACCCCGTGTTGGGGCACATTTTCAGGTTCAAATACCTTGGGGATTGATACCTCTGGCGGCAGGAGGCTGGAGCTGAGTTGATTATGCATGTTGACTGTTGATATGCCTGATTTCTGATTATGCTTTATTTTCAGTATCATGTTATTTGAGTTGAGACTTGGTTTGGCTATGTTGCCTTATTTGGTGAGCATGGGGGTTGTCCATGTCACATTGTTTTGACTATGTTTATTTAGACTTGAGTTGTATAATGTATCAAGATTATTGTCCATTCTACGTGTTGTAGCTCCGTGACTAGATACACATCTATACATGAGGTTATTCAGTTAGTTATTATTGCAATTTATATACAGGAAATATTCTGAAAAGGAATTAAGTAATCAACTTGGTTAATAATAATGACGTTATAATTGAAAAGAAAAAGTTAGCTTCCGCATTTAATTTAGCTGCGCCATTACCATTTGTATGATAATACACTGGGTGTACACGGGGTGTACATGGGGTGTTACATTTGATGTTACTTTCAGTATGTATTTGGTATGAGTGTGGTATTCAGTATAATATATGATGTATATTCAGTTTCATGATTTGTGTAGTAGTTATGATTATTTATAAGTTATGGAAAATAATTAAGAACACTGTACAAGTATGGGACTATACAGATAATAATAAGAGATTGAATAATGAATAAGCATGGCAATACATATAAAAAGAAAAGAAAAAGTTTACTCACACAATTACACTAGGTAATGGTGAAATGCAAATAAAGTCTTCCGCTAAAGAAATTTTCATGCGCATAAAAGTACCATATCTAAGTTAACAATCCGATTAATGAAATTGAAGCGTTACACTGATTGTCTTAACATATTTGGAATAGGCTGTGATATTGTGAGAGATTGTTGTTATGACCCCTTGGATACAAGGAGTGCATTGGATGACAGTGCTTAACGGTAAGCTTTCGGTCTTTGGGGTTGATCTCCTTTTTGTTCCACAAAACTCCAAGGGAGGGTGGTTCTTTCATATGGTATGTGGATATGAACTATTATATGGTACATGTATATGTATGTATGTTTGTGTGCTACACAAGAGGAGTTACCTTGAGTGTGAAGCATAAGATGAGTTATATTATGCGTAGTACATGATGATTTACCTTGTACGGGTATGTTGCAAGACGAGTTACCTTGCGTAATGCATACATGTTTTATTCTCTGGCCAATAGGATTTATTATCTGCACACTACATTAATATACATATTCTGATGCATGCATGGATTTTATATTGTGGTTATACTAGAAGTGAGCTTAGGGGTGGAGGATCCCTTCAAGGGTCCCTAGCTTAATGAGGTAATTATATTATCTCACCTTGCATTTTGGAGATTTCCATTTCAGGTACAAGAGCTGGTGGTGCTGAGGCATCGCATGGCAAGAGGCCAAACGAGAGAAATTACCTGACCTAATAGTCAGGATTAGTTTGTTATTTTGATATGTACTTGACATGGTATTATTTTAGATATATATATATATATATATATATATATATATATATATATATATATATATATATATATATGTTATTCTTTTGGAGAACATAAGGAGTGTCTATGGCAAGTCGATAGTTTGTATATGCTGTTAGTGATGCAAGCACAGGTCTATGTTACTTGTTTAATTGCATCTCTTTTGTTTATTTGATGTAATTATGTAAGTAACATCATGCACATTAATTTGAGACAGTAAAATTATGAGATAGCCTACGCAATGGATTGCTGGTGTAATGTCCGGCCGCTTCAAGAATCAATGACTATCCCCACATACTAACACGAGACTTTTCAGTGTGTTTTTTTCCCACTCACACACTTCTCAAAAAAACGTCCCAAGAGGAGGATTCGTGACTGCCATTATCAGGAAGTGGCTGAAACTGGGTAACGATATCAACTGCATAGGATATATGAAAGAGAAAAAAGAGTAGCTTGGAAATTAGAAGCATAGCTGGAAGGATGGTCATTTTGATTTAACATGCTGCTGGAGTTGAATATATATATGGAGATTGGGTGTTAGAGTGTGAATAACATGATCGCAAGGGGCAGACTTGGTCTCTTGGGCGTTGCTTCACTTGACAAGGACGTAGGCAGGTCTAGAAGGCACAAGCACTTATGTCACAAATTTCAGTGATAATTTAGGATGGCACAGTAAAACAACTCTTAGTCACCATTGTAGTTAACCTTCGATAGCAATGTTAAAATAGTTTATATTGAAATATCTATACAATTTGAATCATTTTTGGAGCATTGTACGGTTGGGAATGGTATAAGGCAGTGTTTAAAAAATCGGCCCGGCCGAGGTCAAGGGTCACGGGTTCAATCGAGGGGTCACGGGATCTCTACGCTGATCCGGTTTTAAATATTAACAAAAATATAAATATATATATCCTATATGAAAATATTTAAAAACAAATCACCAATCATCAAAGATTCAAAATATACTTAACATAATTCATCAATTACAACCACAAGTCAATATTACACAACCTAATTAAAGTATTAAGATACCAAAGTACAAAACTCATATTCTAATGATACCAAAGTATCAAGATACCACAAGTCTAGGTCGCTGGGAGAGAAGAGAACGATTATATTTAGGTTTGCAAGCATTTTTATTTTATTTTATTAATAAAACAACATTGTTTCATATATTCTAATGATACCAAAGTATCAAGATACCACAAGTCTAGGTCGCTGGGAGATAAAAGAACGATTATATTTAGGTTTGCAAGTATTTTTATTTTATTTTATTAATAAAACAACATTGTTTCATGGAATTTTCTCTAAAACACAAATTATGCAGTGACCCGCTTTGACCCCTCTGACCCGGGAATCAC